TCTAGTTCACTTATTTAACACTTGGTATAATTGGGCATATTTTACAAAAAACTGGTTTTCAAATTTTACTTCACAGGTTACGCCCCCTAGCGGTTAACCCAGAAACTTGAAAGTTATTTCCAGCGATTTCTTTTGGTCACTTTTACTAAGGAATTTTTTCTCCCCAAGTTATAACATGAATAGTTTCTGATATATAGCCGAGCGATCGGCTTATTGGACCACCCGGTATAGTGATTAATTTTAAACAAAAAATTGCTAGTGCTATAGTCTATATTTCCCCACCAGATTGACTGCTTCAAGACTCCACTCAATCAAGAATAAAGTCAAGAACGTAAGGGAATAATAATTAAAACATGGTGAAAAGATATCCTTGAAAGATAATTATATTGTACAGCTTAAATAGAAAAAAAAACATAATATCTGGTACATTCAAATGCTCCTAAAATTACGATGACCGTAGATAGTAAAATCGTATTAAATTAAATACTAAACGTTTATAGGCCATCATCATGATTATCAATCAGCCCTGATTCTTCTGTTGTTGAGCACAGGTCTCTTCTAGATATTGCTTCCATCTATTTCCGTTTTGCGCCTCTGCTATCGAAGTTTAATATCCTCTAATGCAATTTGACTAAAAAAATTAATTTGATTGGAACTTATTAACCAGTTACAGCATTATTGTTTACAGTGTAAAGTTGCCTTTTTCGTTCTACAGGGTACTGTCAAAATTGGCACAAAACCGGCTTCCTACAGTTTCGCCTTTAAAATTCGCTTTTTTTTATAATGGATTTTTGTAGCTGCTTATTTTAATCTGTTTATGCATATTTAATGTATCGTGGTTATTTTTTCAACAACTCTATTTGTTCACATTGTGTTTTTAACCAATTTTCTTTGGTCTTTCTTATTTCGGTTCTTATATTATTTATCTTTGAATATTTTTGTACATTTTTTTGTTATTCTTTGATTTTGTTCTTTCTTTTATGAGGTGCAGTGTAATGTCATTTATCTAACTTTTTCTTTTCTCTTTATTTTCTATCGTAGCCTTCTCTGATCTTGTTAAAGGTTTCACATATATTCTGGAGTAATTATTTAGGATGTATTATCTTTGCTCTATGTTACTTTGCTTTTATAAAAGAACTCGTGCGACTGTCTCTTTTGTTTCCTTATTTCTCAGTCTTCTTGTATCACATTTTTTGTTAATATTTTTTTTATCACTTTTTTAAATCTAAACCTAATATTTACCAATAACAGGAATAATATAGGAACGACACGTCAGCACCGGGGTAACTTTTAATCAATTGGGACCGTGCAAGTTCGGAACAACGACACCTGGTGTCGTAAATCAGCAAAATTTACTGCGCTTTCATGTTAGATCGAGGTTACCGGATAACTGTCAAGGACGTAGCCCCAAAAAGGAATAAGAAGAAAAAGTAAGATTGAGGTTATGTCGGTATGTTATTAAAAGCTACACGTTGTATGTAGTGTAAATACAAATAAATATATTATTAAAGTACAGCATTACTGTTAATATGTATGCAATAATAAAAACTGAATTTGAGAAAGTAAATCACCAAATAACTTTTCAACCAAACACTGAGTCAAAGGGAAAAGCTTTAGTAGTGGCAAATGTCAAAAAAGAATGGAAGAATTATGTGGAAGAATTAAGAAAAATAAATTACCATAAATAATGCTAATGCATAAATTAGCAGGATAAGCCCATGATATTATCGTATTGGTTTAAACAATTAATTCTTCCCCTGTAAACTTTTGGACAGCGAATATATCTTAATGCATCTTCAGAAAAACTTGAACTTGATACATTTTTGTAAACTTCAAAAAATAAAATTTAAACCGTAAACTTGATTTTTGGTTTAAATGAACTCTGAGTGAGTGTTATGAAACTAAAATTTACACTTAAAAGTGAACTTTTATTTATTATTTATTTCAAACTGACTTTAAAATCGAGCGCAAGAATAATGCATAATTTAGGTTATGTTACTTATGCTTTTTTATGATATAAATCCACTTTTCTCTTTGTAGTAATTTGTGCTTAGCAGTGGGAAACGAATAAAACTTAAATTGACAATTTTTTGTTGTATTTTTACAATTTATAACACAGCATTTCCTAAATACCATTTTCTTCAGTGACAGAAGGTGTAAATAAACAAACGAATATGAAATAAATTGGCAATATGAATTTATGAAATTTATGATATTTGCAGTAAAAAAATGCAAGATTTCTCCGCTACTCGCGCACGATCGTTTCTCGTATCACATCCACGTACTTGCACGTCGCCAATAGGCATCCATTATGGAAATTCATGTTTACCATTATGTAGCATATTTGAATCCTTATTATGTTTCCTGGTTGACTTTGCCAAGAGACATAACTATAATAAAGACATGCTACCACTGTCTTAATACTTCTTGCCCATTAAGGTCTTGGTAATATTAAAGTAAGCAAAAACTATTTAAGCATTATTTTTTATTGATATGTGAAAAATGCAAAAAATTGTTTACTTTGGTTTAAAACGCCAATGTTTTATTGTTCCATGACAGAAGTAGTTGTCAGTGCTATAGTCGTTTGAATTTCATGAAAAGCAAGTCAGAAAAATGGTTTATTTAACAGAAATGCAGAAAATTACAATTATACTGATGATTGGCTATGGACATAAGACACGGACGCAGTAGTTCGTTTATTTAATGAAGCATTTCTTGATTTGCCGCACATATCTCAAGGGACAATTAGTAAAATGAAGAAGCAATTAAATGAGCTGGGCCATGTTAGAAAGGTTCTGCCAATGCAATAAGTAAGGATACCAAATTGGCTGTTATGCTTGAGGTTAGGGAACACCCACATACATTTGTTTGAAAAGCATACCCCAGTACTTGATATTAGCTATTCCTCGGTTATTCAAATCTTTCAGAAAAACAAAATTCATTCCTATAAAATTATACACACTAAGGAGCTCATGAAAGATGATTTTAACAGAAGAACGTATTTTTATGAACAAACGATGGCAATGTTAGACAGCAATGTGATCCAATTAGAACATGTTTTATTTTCTGATAAGTGCACCTTTACTCTCCACGTTCATGCTAATCGGCAAAATTGCCGCTATTGGTTCAGGGAAAATTCTCAATGGATGAGAGAAGGCAATAGTTAATACCCTGAGGTTAACGTGTGGGTAGGAATTATTGAAGATTAGATCATAGGTATCATAGGTCCTTTTTCATAGATGGCAATTTGAATGGTGACAATTATGTAGCATTGCTCCAATAAATGTAGTGCCAACGTTGGCAAACTTGTATCTTGATCCAGGAAACTTACAAGTTTTAGCGAATATGCTATGGTTTCAAGAAGATGGAGCACCACCGCACCACCAAATCCATGTCTGGCAGTATCTAAAAGAAATATTTCCAAATCGGTAGATAGTCAAGAGTGTCAAGAAAACTGTCATTTCTGCCACATCCTTAGATTCCTTAGATAATGATACCCCTTTTTTTGAAAGACTATGATATAAAAGAAAGAAATCTCATAATTGGGTGAAAGGAAATCAGGAGATCAGGAAATGATACAAAATTTACTGGTTCTGAAAATTTACCTTCTTTGATTTTACAATTAGAATCTCTGGTATAATTCTTTAAGTTTTTTTTCCTGATAATCTTATAGAGTATATCACAGACCAACCAAATTTATTGTCAGTTTAACAACGCCAAGATAAACCAGCCAAAAATATGAAATAGAACAATTAATAGGAATTAATATTTACATGTCGATCTTCCATCAACAAGACACTATTGGAATGCCAATATTGGCCACCGAACAATTATCAATGTGATGATCTCGACAGATTCAACAAAATAAAACGTTTCTTGCATTTCAATAACAATGAAGACATTATTGATAATGATCAGCCTGGACATGACAGATTAGTCAAAATTAGTTCCTGTTCTGAGCCAAATCGAAGAACGACTACTCATGGTTCCGAAAGAAGAATTTATAGCTGTAGACAAACAGATTATACCAACAATAGCGCAAAACCGGCTTAAGCATATAACCCAAAAAAAAACACATAATTGGGGCTTCAAAAACTTTGTGCTGAGTGGTATTTCGCGATTCAGCTATGACTTTAATTTGTTTTCTTGTTTTCAGAGTAATATTGTACATCTAGAAGCACCAAATCTCAGTATGAGCAGCAACGTGGTTGTCAAATTAGCAGATTCGATGTCCTAATCTACAACAACCACATGGGAGGTGTAGATCTCCTTGAATTAATGTTAGGATTTTATCGTATAAAAATGAGGTCGAAGAAATATTATTTACGATTATTTTTTCATTTCACTGACATGACAGCCGTGAACTGTTAGTTAGCGAAAAGAGCGAAGAAATTTGATTTACCCCTTTTGTATACCAAACTAGAAATAACCGATGCTCTATGCAAAGCCGAAAAACCAACTAAACAGAGCAGAGTAGGAAGATCGTCAAGTAGTAGCATTCATCAGATGTACGAGAACAACCAAAAAAGGGACCCACTAAAGAAATACCCCAAGAAGACATCCGTAAAGATGGACTTGATCATTTTCCCTATTGAGATAAGAGTACTAGGTCAAGCTGCAAATTTGCAGGCTGCATGGGAAAAATATATATAGTGTGCACAAAATACACAATACCTTTGTGTATTAATAATGAAAAAAACTGTTATTTGCAGTTTCATACTGTTGACTTTAACTTTAATATTACATTGTTGAATGATGTTCCATATTTGGTACCAAAATTTTTTTTTGTCAATAAAATGTTCCTCGTATCTAGATTTTTTTAATATTTTTACGTAAAAATAGAATAAAAATTCTTATGTAAGAATTTATTTTTGACAAAAAACAAAAATTTATGCGGTAAAGGGTTAGGAATTAAGAAGATATAGAACAAAAACAAGAAAATAAATAATTATGTTTTGTGATTTTATGATTAATATGGTTAAAAATGTATTACTGCTTACCTGTTGAGTCTCGTTGTTTCCGTTGCAAGTTCTCTCGGACCTCCAGTTCTCAAATCGACATGCCGGCACTCGTCTTGAAGCACCATCAAAACAAGGAAGAACTTGCTTAAATTCTTTTCTAAAGTTCTCATTCAACCAAGCGTAAAGAAACGGATTATAACATGTCGAAGACATAGCTATTGCGTGGGTCATAAAAAATGTAAGATAGTAGAAATTCCACTTCTCCATCTGCTGGCAGAAATCGTTAATTATATTAAAAGCATTAAGGGGTAACCAAGAAACTAGAAAAACAGCAACCATTGCTATAAGCATCCTATTAGTTCTTCTCTTTCTTTCCCGGTCAGCTTCTTCTTTCCGCGAGTTTTTAGAGCCTGGTTTGGATCTAGCTCTATCGTTTAGTTTGATAGAGACACAGATATAGCAAAACGCCATTATTAAAAATGGAATAAGGAACTGCATAGCTGTAGTTATGCCTCCGAATGTCCTTCTCCAATCTTCACTAGGCCAATTTTCATCACAAAAGTACTTTTCAGCATTCTTTTCAGCCGGAGTGAGTTTAACATATACTCCATAGGGTAGAGTCACTAACATAGAAAATATCCAGATAATCACTATAATTATAATACAGGTTGATAGTTTCATCCGAGGATGAAATGGATATATTATTACAAAATATCTATCAATAGCAATTGACGTTAACGTCAGCGTTGATATATAAACACTAATTCCTTGAGCATAAGACACCAAATGACAGATAAGTCTACCGAATACCCACTCCCCTAGGAATGTGTATAAAGGGGTGAACGGGACAGCTAGAACACACAGTAATATGTCTGATAAAGCTAGATTTGTGATAAACAGATTTGTTACAGTCTGCATGGCTTTATTTCGAAACACGACATAGCACACTAGCACATTTCCGAATATACCCATCACGAATATGGTTGTGTATATCATAAAAAACGCCACTTGAACCGTATTGTCATTAATTATATCTTCACTAGTTGTATTGTTCGAAACGGCCCCCGCCATTTTATTTGGACTCTTTATTGTTTCATTTCATACTTGAATGTTTCTGAAGATATTTTCGTCTTCTCGGCGTAGAATATTAGCACCTGTGGACAAAACAAACTACTTAGTGTTAATTTATATAATTAAATGTGAAAATATTCAATAAAATACAGGGTATTTACAAATAATTGTGTAAATTTAACTCATTGATATTTTAGTGGTAATGGTATAGAAATTTTTATAACTTTTTATTATTTAATTTTATTATTATTTTTTTTATATTTTTAAGGAAAATGTATGTTTATTATAATACGTAAGGTACATTGACAAATATAGTGTCTTAATATATGCATAATTTTTTAAGCGGTAAACCAATCAATAAACATAGCAGAGGTTTAAGAAGGAAAGGCTCTAGCTTTGAACCTTAAATTGGCCGTGCTAAGCCCAAGAACTCTACGACATCCCCGTTTACGCATAAAATTAAATTATAAAATCATTACGAATTTTTATAAAAAAGGTAGGCACACGAACATATAAAAGCAGAGGCATAAGAGTATATGAAATATTTATTAAATATTAATTACATATTTATTTACAAACTAGCGGACCCGACAGACTTTTCGTTATGTCAAATAGATTTGTAATGTGGTAGTTTATTTCTTTAATTCTTCTGTACAGAACCGTCACCATGATGATAGATCGGTGTTCGCTGCCACGAACTTTGGCCCCCCTTTTGGGCACACTAAAAACCCCGACTGGGATGTATGCCAGAGGGCTTCAAACAAAGAGGGGAACTTAAGGTTCAAACCTAATTGAAAAATAATCTAAAGGGGTAGTGGGAACCTAAAGGTGACAAATTATTTATGATACTTCAATGACAAAACTTGGAGAGAATTAATTATTTAATATTATTATTATTAACATAGGGTTAATAAATGGTATTACCGATGTAATAAAGAATAATAAAATAAAACGTATATAAGTATTTTCACTAATCGCTTTATTGTATATCAAGTGAATCATAATTATTAACAAAAAACTGTTTTATTTTTATTGTGATGCTTTATAATATACAATGTTTTTTGTTTGATTACCTAACACGGGAACAGGCAACATAGAATTGACCATGTGAGAAACATGGGTTTTCTAGATGAATACCACAAACACATAATGATTGCTCCTGGGACTTATTTATGGTCATAGAAAAAGCAAGCCGCACTGGAAACTGTAGTCATTTATATTCAAATGGTACATCACTCGGAATCGTTGGGATGCGTGGTATCAAAACGTCTTCTCCTTTATACTTTCCTTTCAGTATAGTTGTTTCAATACGTTGTTCAATAATTTTTTTATCGCTAACCGTGTGCCGTTGCAAAGATGCGGTTGGTTGATATTTCTCAACATTATAACTACCGATCCAATCTTTAATTGAAGATTGTGAGGTGGCAATCCTGGTAAATCCAGCGAGTTTAAATCGCGACATCATCTTGGTTAGTTGCCGTGTTCAATTTTTTCACATGCGAAAAATCATGTTATTTTTCGATGTATTATTAACTATCCTTTTATCACAATTTTACAATCATTATCTTAGTCCCACCCTTAATAACCCTTCCTACTTACATTTTACCCCCTCACCATTAGAAATACAGACAGTTAAGATAGCAAAGAAGAAAGACTCTCTTGATGGTCGCCCGTCGCTAAGGACAGACCATTCTCTCTCTCTTAGTTTGGCCATCGCTAGAGCCAGACGCTCTCTCTCTTCCATTCTCTCTCTCTTCGCTTATCAAGAAGAACGGCATCTATCTTGGCTGTCTTTCTATCATAATTACCTCTTTCCCGCTTTAGTTACGCGAGAAATATCAAAAATACTTTATTAAATCGTGTGCAGACAAAGTGTGCTCTATATCGTGATATATTTGCAAAACACGTGTTCAGAAACCGGTGCATCGGACAAATTTCGCGGGTGAAGAATTACCACGAATGAAGACCGGGAATAACCGTAAGAGTGTGGAGCAGAAAAAATATTGGTAAGACTTTCTATAAACTTAATTTGCTATTGTCTGTATACCTTTTAGTACTTATCCTAATTTTATTGAACCAGCCCTATATAATACAGTCCACATACACGGAAATTATACTAATAATTTCCCACATATGTACACCCTTTTTGTACATATTTTGGTCATTCGAGCCGAATCTCAACCAATCTCTGTGTATATCTCTCTGTCTCACATCTTGATGCTACATAGTGTGGCACACTTTTGAATCATATGTAAATCATTATTCTCTCTGTTTTATCTCATGCTCGATTGAACATATTTTGATGCAATTCGGTTCAAAATTTTTATCCGCTGTTAATCTCATCTAGATTTAATCCTTCGAAGTTATATATTTCTATACATGTGTATATGTTCCTTGATATATATGTGTATGTAAACGTATGTCTTTGTAAATCTAGATATTGATAAATCGTTGTTTAATAATTCTTATTTGTGAAAATTTTCAATTTTGGAAATCTTATTGTTTAAAAACGTTACAAACTCAGGTAGAGTAAATACCCATCTGTGACGTAGGAAAAATTCCACCCTTTTGTCAAGAAAACATTGCATTGTTCTCGGTCACGTTTATTCTTAAGTACGTGTTACGGGTAAAAATTTGGAGATCTTTTCTATTGTTCTGAATAATAAACTACAAGAATTCTCCACTAGTAGTGTCAGTAATCCTTATTCCTTAATCAGCATAATAATTGCCTTATTCAAATCGCTTGGTGACACAAACTAAAGTTTTACAATAATCTCTGTTCTTAGAAAATATTGCGTATTAATTGCTTTATTAAATCAATGAAAGTTATCTCTATAAGTGTTGATTTAAGTTAAATTCACGATACCAAATATAATTTCAACTCTATAAAAAAAAGAAAGTGATAATCTCTTTCTATCTATTTTTCTCTTTGCTCTTTATACTCTTTCCAAGAGTCGCTTATTTTTATTCTCTTTGCCATTCATCTCTCTTTGGTACACTTTTATGATACTCTTGTTAAATATAATATACTCTAATTAAAAATGGCAGAAATTGCAGAATATTTTTATGCGATGCACGTTTCACAAGTAAATATCGCTAGAATTGGGAGAGTTGTTAGTTCTAATGAATAAGGCCTCTCTAATTGTAGCATCAAAGAATATCTTGCTCAGTTTAGGGCAGCTTATAAATCATATTTGGATGCTTTGGAAAACCTGGCTGACGACGAAACTATACTCGAAAGTGAAGAAGTAGATATTACTTATGAAAAATATATGAATGCTTTATGTTTCTTAGAAGAAAAACTAAGAGCTAAACAAGCCATTAAATTTGATACAAAATTTAAGGCGAACACTTCCAGTCACATTTTGAAAAGTACTGATTTGAATATAAATTGCCAAAAGAATTTTAAAATACATTTTACTCTGATTCTCCCAAATCAGTTCAAACAGACGAAAGAAATAAATATAAGTACTTCGTTTAGTTCTGCAATTGTTTAAGCTCAGATGCAAGAGCTTGAAGAGCCGACTTATGAAATCACTTCTAATAACATTAGTTCTCAAGATGTAATAGGCCAGCCTCTCTTAAAAATGTGTTACCAGCACAAATAGTCACTTTTCAAACTACTCCAGAACAAAATGCGATTACTAAAACTGTAATATCTGCATCGCCTGTACTTCTTAACATTTCTCCCCCACAAATATTGCAAGAATCCAATACTTTGGTTTTAACTCAAGCTCTACATACACAAAATGTTTTAGTTTCTGCTCCGATTCTGATAACTGTCGATTTTTCTCCATTAGTTATTGAAAACTTAACTCCAGTACCGCCTTCTTGCGGTATGCCCAATGAATTGGCAAACATACCTTCCACAACTTGTATAGAAACTCAAGATATCTCCCAACCTGAAACTTTAAATGCTCTAAATATACGACAGGTTAATAAACTCTCTATTCAAGTTCAAAATATATTCATTCTCACTTTGTTACATTTGAATAAAATTCCAACACAAAAATCTATCGACTTATTATCAATTGCAACACCTTGTGAAGAAGCTGATGTACATGCCGATTTTTTAAAAATCATCTCTCTTCCGAATAAGTCCCTACCTCCTCCACTAATAAACAAAAATCAAAACTCCTCTCACAGCCTCGTACTGACATGGCTGTTATCAAAGTTCTATCAAGACAAACTGTTCTTACTCATACCACCCTACAATCTAATTCATTAGATTTAATCGAAGCTTCATTTTCTTCTGTTACTATGACCCCACCATTAATAGAGGGCCAAGTAACAACAACTCATGCATTATTCGACAATACTTCGGTTTTGATGGCTCAGTCTGTCTTGCCGCCTCTTGATATAGTGAACGTCAATGTAACGTGCCCTTCTCCGTTGTTTACTGTCCCCCAGGTTCAAACTTTTGCTAACCAAATGACACACTTAGTGGCCTCTCATACTTTAAAAAGTTTTGCAAATATCGACAATATCTTGACCAGTGCCAATAACTTGAAAAAGATACACATACTTTATTCTCAACTATGCTCGCTTCTAAGAACTCACAATTTCCAATTCTATAAAATATATTTAAGTTCTCGAGCCTTTTCAAATGAATTTAATCTGATATCCACTTCAGAAGTCAATCTTGACTTAGTTAACAATTTCTCTAAGGTCTTAGGTATTAAGAGGTCACCTTATCAAGACGATTTCTCTTTTAAATTGCCTGTTTGAGAAAAGGCGCCTCCCTTAACAAAAAGAAAATTATGGGCCTATGTGTCTTGAATGTATAACTCCTTAGGAAAACTCTTATCGTATAGAGTACACTCTAAAGCTTTCGTACAACGCCTCTGGTTATTGCCCTTAGACTGGGACAATGATATATTAGATGACATATTGATCTCGGATTGGAAATCATTATTGGATACATTCCAATCAATATATAAAATTTCATTTCCCATATGCCTGACGCTTCCACTGCTTGTATCGCGCATGCTACTACGACAAAGTAGAAGTAACTGGAACATCGCTACTGATCTTTTAAAGATCGGTGATGTGGTAGTAATCAAAGATGAAGAGACTTCCCCAC